CCCAGGCGGGTCTTGAACCTGTGGGCTCAGGCAATCCACTCACCTCAGCCTCCCAAAGGCATGGGATTACAGGCTGAGCCACCAAGCCGGCTGAGACCTCATCTCTTAAAAAAACAACAACAACAACAGAGAAGGGACAGCCTGAATGGAAGTCTCCTCCCTGCCCTTGATGCCCAATCTCAGGCCTGGTGACTTGGACTTGGCAATGAGGAAACACAAAGCTTAGAAGGCAGCCTAGCTGCCAAAGTCGAGAAGGTGTCTTAGTCTCCTTCTCTCTGTATCTGTCTCTGCCCCTCTCAGAATCTCTGTCCACACCCCCAGGTCTCTGTCTCCTTATATTGCTTTGATTCTTATCTTCCTATTGCACAAATAAGGAAACTGAGGCTCAGAAAGCAGAAGTAGCATTCCAAGGTCACACCCAAGCATAGTGATGGGGCCTAGTCCCTTCCTGGCCTCAACATCACCCTGCCCAAGACAGGGCTTCAGAAAGGAGGTGTGTTGGTCATTCATTGCCTGCACCCTTTCCCCAGGTCCTTGTCCAAAGTCGCCCTGGGTTACCATCCATTTCCTGGTCCAGTGGAGTTCTTCACCCATTCCACGCACCCCTCATCTCAATGAATATCGGCAGCCTCTGTCCCAGGCTTGGGAGGAGACCGACCTGTGTTCAAATGATGGTTCCTGTACTCCTCATCCATTGATTTCCCTCCTCCACCCCCACTGCGACTCCAGAATGGAGCCTTAGTTTCCCCGGCTTTGTCCAGGGCATCACGTGGGATCGAGGTTTTGCATCCAATAAAGGACATTCCCTGCTGTCTCCAACCACCACAGTGAACCCTGGTCTCTAGATACAAATGTTCTCTGCGCAGACTCCCTGCTGAAGCTCTGAGTTCTGGGGGCTCAGGAGGCAGCTCAGAGAGGTCAGAGCAGGGAGAGATGAACTTTGAGCAGCCCAGACACAGAAGAGAAACTGAGCAGAGACTGAAGGAGGGGCCCTGAGGAACACATCACTCCTGCTAACCCCCCCAGCCCCCTCCGCCAGCACGTCTCTCTCTCACTCTCCTGACTTCACACTGATGTATTTTGAGAAACTCGTGAAAGGAGGCGAGAAAAAGGGTGGGGAGGGGCTGGAAAATTGGAAAAAGAAGGGATGAGGTGATCTCAGCTCCCCCTCCACCACCAGCCCCCATCACTGCGCCATCCTCCTGCTTCCCCCCCCAGCCTTATTTGTGTCTCTTATATTACTAGAGGGTGGGGTAACTTTGGATCTGGGAGGTGATCTGCAGCAAGCAAGACTAAAGGTAGACTTAGAAAAGGACCTGAATGGCCTAGAAAGAGGCTGAGGCTAAACTAAAGGTGGGATCAGGGCTATGGGCCGAGGGGTCTGAGGGCATGGCGGCCGGGGCCTGGCGCTGATGAGTCCATCTCCTCCCCGCACTGTGGCCAGATATTTTTAGACTTTCCCGCAGCTGAGTAATTTCTCTGACTTGGAGCCAGAGCTGGGGTTGGGGGTGAGAGACCTGAGGGAGGTGTTCAGACTACCCCGAGGGACACCTAGGTCACTGAGGTCACCGCCCTGGCTGGGAGGAAGCCCCTCTCAGCCTATATCCTTGGAAAAAGTCTGTCCTAACCCAGGAGTCAAAATTTTTGACCTGTCATTCCCTTCTCCCCCAGAGACCCAGGATACTCTGGCCCCTTCTCTCTGCCCCCGCTTAACTCCCCTCAAGGACAAGGACTGATGGGCCCCAATCCGCTTTAGCTGCAGATTAAACTCCCTGCGAGACAGAAACTGAAAAAGACACGGAGAGATGGAGAGACCCGGGGTGAGAGAACAAGAACCCAGAGAGGGGGACAGACTTTCAGAAAAAAGGGAGACAGAGACCCAAAGAAGGGAGGGGGGACCAAAGATCCAGAGAAGAGGAGAAACCCAGAGAGAGGACAAGGACTCAGAGTTGGAGGTTTATAGAGAGCTATAGTGAGAGCAATGGTCAGATAGTTGGGGGGAGGGGACAGAGACCCAATGAATGGGGGACAGAGATCTAGGGGGGAGAGGCACAGAGGGGAGCAGAGATCCAGAAAAAGAGAGGGAGAGAGACCTAGAGATAAATGGGAACAGAGACCCAGAGAGAGGAGTCCAGAGAAGAGGGGGAGAGAGGTCCAGAAAGAAGGGTGGACAGAGACCCAGAAGTTGGGGAGGGGGTCAGAGACCCAGAGGGAGGGGGTTTTACAGTCCCAGAGAAGACAGTAGATCCCCGGCCGGCATGGGGTGCCGAGAAATGAACGAGATAATGAACAAGACCTGGCCAGGGACGACGACACCGTCGGAGCCCCAGGAAGAAAACTGGACAGATGGGTGGACCCCTCCATGCAGGGTATCGCCTGTCATCCGTCCCTCTGCGCCCAGATGGGAGTGGGCGTCCCCGTCGGATCCTCACATTCCTCCCCTCCCAGGACCCCCACCACGCTCACCGGTGCAGCTTCCCGAGGGCACGACCCGCTAGCTTCCGAAACTCCTCCTGG